TATAGGTGACTGCGGCCCAGGAGAGACAAAGTATTCCTAGCGGATAATAATCTTCGCTTTGAAAAGAATTTGTATACAAATTGTAAGTAAACACACGTGAATGTTATCCAATCATTATTTCCCCCTTATTTTTTAAAATTTTAAAAAATTTTAATTTGCTTAGCTGAAAATTATATGTGATTTAATATTTTTAAAACCTTTTTTACTCCAAAAATGTCCATAAGGCGATGTAGTTTTTCTGCCATTAACGCATTTGGCATAACTTCATCCAAATGAAGTTTTGCACTTAAAAGTTCTTTTACTTTAGAATATGATATTCAATTTGACAGTGTCAGAGTATTTAATTAAGGACTTTAGCAGAATACCATTTTTTAAATACTAAAAATACTAAATTAAACTGGAACAAGCTACCAACTAAAAAAACAATAGTCCAAAAAATAATTTTTAATCGAGCTGATTTTCGGATAGAGCTCCTAAAACATGATTAGCACATTTTGTCAAAAATATAATCCTTGCTGATGTAAAATTTCAGCCCAGAAACATTTTTATAACCTTTAAAAAATACCCTCCAAAATGGTGTTTTTTAATAATCATATCACGAGAACTATAAATTTAATCGGTTAAACTAGGCTCAGTAGTTTTTTGTTTGGTTTTTGTTGGAAAATAATTTAATAAAATCACGAGACCGCGTAGCGGTCGAGGGGTTTTATTTTTAATTATTTAGCATGAAACTATTTTCCAAAAAGAAAAATCAAATAAAAAAACTTACTGAGCATAGTTTGACAGATTAAATTTATAGGTTGAGTGATATACGTCTAGATTATTTCTCGAATTAAAGGAAACTATTTGACAATTCATAAAATCTGACGTAGATGTCAAAATTTTTAAATATTTTTTTAAAGAAAATTCAATTAATTTAAGGTATGTAATAAGTAATAATTGATATTTCGTAAACTAGAACGTATTTTTTATTGTTTTTTTAAATATGTTTGTTAAAACTTGTAAATAACACCATAAAATCGTAAACAAAAATCCAATATGGAGGCTAAAATTAATCGCTGTTAAATAGTTCTAGTGATTTAATCTCTTATTTAAACGAAATTTATTCGAAAATTCAAGGCTTTTGATTGGTTCATATTATAATGAGGGAAATAATCTTCAGAAAATTTGGACACTTACAAAACTGAAGATTAAATATAACGAGCAATTTTACGTACATATAAAATAAATGTTTTATGCCTGGAATAAGAAGAACCCATTGTACTAAAGTTGGTTTAAAAAAGATAATTTATTGACTCTTATAATAAAAAAAAACACTATTTTTTGAGGAATCATCAAAATAAAATGATATTGGCCAACAATTATTTATTTTAAAAGTAAGAAAAGCACCACTTTAGTGGTTATTAAAAAATTATTTATTAAGCCATTTAAATATTATAATTTCAATAAAAAAAACATGCTTAAATCCAATTTATAAATATTCCTTATCAAAATATCCCATAATTTATTTACGTTTAATATTATACAATAACACCATAACACATTACTGCAAGTAAACATCCAAATTCTGGCAATATGTCCTTTGAACACGTTTAATACGCATGTTAAAATATGCCTTGAATAATATTAATCTATCTAGAAGAATTATTAATTATTATTTTGCATGATTAAATAAAAACTGATACCTTTATTAAACTTTTTGTAATATTTCAAGTCAAGTGGGCTACAAGAATATTGGCCGATTTGGATTGAACATATTATACCCTTAACCTTGGCACCAGTTTTGTTGCCTATACAATTTTATAATATGGTTAGCTAATTCTGTATTTCAAACATTAAGGATTTTTCTATTTTTTCATAAAATTTATTAAAGCAAACTAAATGTTAGCCTTTAATTTTCCATGTGTTATACAGGGTGTCCGGGAAAAAGAGGTCAATCCGTTAACCATATATTCCTTGAGTTAAAACAATAAGACTTTCATAATACCATTTTTCAATTTAGAGCTTCATGTTCGATATACAGGGCGACAAAGTTTGAAATTTAAAACTGATTTTTTTAATAATTCGAGTAATTGATAAGATATTAAGTTCAAATTCGGTACACTACTTCAACATAAATAGTTAAATTTTTTGAGACCAACAAAACAAAAAACAATTGTCAAATAATCAAAATAGGGGGGTCCAGTACTCACTGACTCTCCCTATTTTTTAGTACGTGCGCCAATGACTTCCAAACGGTATTTTTTTAGGTAATCATTTATTGTTAAAAAAAATTTGTCTCCTATAAAATTTTGATAAAATGATTTGTTTTAGAGATAATTTGTAAAGTATGGGTCAGTCCATATCAAATCAACCAAAGGTTCTTCCCCCACCATCTCCGATTTTGATAATTTTTGGTAAATTTGTTTACCTCACTAAAAAACTCAAAAATCCCATATATGATTTTTTTTCGATAGGTGGTTTTTGTTTTATTAATTTTTAAAAATCAAAAAATTCCGATAAATTTGGGTCTTGCAAGTACTTACGAAAATAGCGATATCTCGTAAATATTAAGTATTAAAAGTAGAAAGGTGAGGCTTATTTTAAAGGTCTATTAGAGACCTTTTTATGATATATCACATGACCTAATTTTTTTCAAAAAAAAAAATTAAATTTTGAAAATTTGATATGGACTGACCCATACTTTACAAATTATCTCTAAAACAAATCATTTTATCAAAAATTTATAGGAGACAAAAAAATTTCAACAATAAATGATTACCTGAAAAAATACTGTTTGGAAGTCATTGGCGCACGTACTAAAAAATAGGGGGAGTCAGTGAGTACTGGACCCCCCTATTTTGATTATTTGACAATTGTTTTTTGTTTTGTTGGTCTCAAAAAATGTAACTATTTATGTTGAAGTAGTGTACCGAAATAAAACTTAATATCTTATCAATTACTCATATTATTTAAAAAAATCAGTTTTAAATTTCAAACTTTGTCACCCTGTATATCGAACATGAAGCTCTAAATTGAAAAATGGTATTATGAAAGTCTTATTGTTTTAACTTAAGGAATATATGGTTAACGGATTGACCTCCTTTTCCCGGACACCCTGTATATAAAGGCTTTAAATTTTAATAATTATTATACATGTATTTCATGAGTTTTATTTATTTTATCTACTCCTACATTGACGAGCTGTGACTTTACTACGTTTTAGTCACGGGCTAAAGTTAGCAATAGTGGCTTTTGGGCAAAGTGAGGTTAAATCCGTTGTCATTTGACAGATCTGTCAAATCTATGTCAAATGTTTAACAAATAAAATTGTCTTTTAGTTCTTCTTTGTGCTCGTCGTAGATAAAGTATGGTATATAATTCTTTTTATAAACTTCTCTAGAAACTTGTTTTTATTAAACACTCGCTCGCAAGCTTCGCTCATGCTTAAAGCATATGTCTGACGGTGCAACTTCTCTCAATTTTTTGGTGTTCACACTATGCAACTAATCAGCTGATCTAACTTGTCATAAAATAGAACATGTTCTATTTTCATGCAATAAAGTCGCGGTAACTTTTAAAGGGATTTACGAATTTTCACTTAATATTTTGGTTGGTACCTACTCAATATTTATCAGCCTTGGAATGACAGAAGCTTTAAAATCTATGCCTTTTTTATTATTTACAACCCTGTTAAAACCAAACAGGCTCTTAGGGTTTTTACACCACAAAATACTTATAACGGAAAAACCATGGATAAAACTTTAAAGAAAAACAAAAACCAATTTAAAAATACATTAATTTTGTTTAGGTATTTTTATATTTCAACTTGGTAATTTTTGGTTAATAGCGTCATGTCGCTTCAACTGGTCGCCGCAACAAAGTCGCCACGAGAAACTTAAATCGCGTTTATAAAACTTGATGTTTTTTATACCTAATATAATATTATATGACATTTTTCATATACATTACATATAATTTTTATTTATTACCACATATTACATTTAAATATTATTGATACTTATATTTTTAAGTGTTGATATTTATTATAATCCTAGGTTATGATCCATTGGATTAAATAAAATTATTTTATCCGTCTTTTCAACATTCATTTATTTATCAACCAAACGTGATGAGAACATGATCAAGTCATAATATTAAATGTATTCGACAGATAACTAATATTGAGTTTAATAAATGTAGACAGTGTCAACTGCCTAGACACATTTTGTAATTAGGTATTACTTATCAACTATCATTGCATTGTCCCAAAATGTCTATAATTGGTAAATTACATTTTTGAAAATAATTATATTTCTTTGTGAAATAACATCTTTAAATTATTCTGGAAAAAGTTAAATTTTAGTATTGTATTGTAATATTTTATTGTACATCCTGTGTTTTAAATATAAAAAATGGTATAAAGAAATATAAAATTAAAAATATTAACATAAAAATATACCTTTAAAATACCGATTTTATTGATTCTGATAAAAAACAGGTATGCCTAATCGATTGAAATCTTGAACTTAAAAAATCATAGATCGGGACTTGGCAAGTCCCTTTGGTGTCTATGAAAACTCAAGGATTATATCTAAAAATTACAGTTGCTACCTGCTTTACTTTTAATTGTTAAACATTTTTCGGTTTAAAAGCATTTTTAAAATGATTTTATAAATTCCGTCTTTTTGCTATAATAAAAATTGAGCATTTTAAGTACCTATCTATTCATGAAAATCCTTGAAATTTAACATTAATATTAATTAATATTCAATTAATATTATTTTTCATTTAAATGTAATAAAATAAAATAGTATTTTCTCTAAATATTTATAAGTCGCTGATTATTAATAACTTGACAATCTTATTTATTTAATTGTTTACTTAACCTCTTCACTTTCCCCCGATTTGCAGAATACTTTGCTCTGTAATCAATAATTATATATATATCGCTTTTAAATATTTTGCCATTCAAAATTAATTGGCCAGCACAAACAGATGCGTTCAGTCGCCAACAAACCTTCGTCGAGCCGGCATCCTTTGAATTTTTGTTTCATGGACATTTCTCTAAACGTGTATCGTGTCAATACTGTGATCAATTGAAATGTATTTAAATAGGTACGTTTTTAGAAAACAATAACAACATTGTTTGTATAAAAAACAATATTATTTTACTTAGTTCCTTATACTTTTAACGAACAAAAAAGTGCCATTCTTTTTAATTCATTCATTTAAAACTGAAATGATTTTCTCCATATTTATTGTTTTTAAAAATAATAACATTCCTTAAAAAAAGACTTATAAACAGCCCAAATAAAATAATACGAATTTAACTATTACAGATTGTAGATTATTGTGAGATTTTATTTATAAATATTTGAAAATTTTTATCTAATGAATATTTTTAATAGAACCATGGTAATCGCAATAAATATTGTTATCTGTTAAATCTAGAGCAGGGTTTCTGAAACTACAAGGTCACTATATCACTATTAAATTTCTTAGACGATTGCGAACCCCCTTAGCAGTGGAAGAAAAATATTTTTTTTATTTAAAGCAATAAGTAGTTAATGGGTGGGCTTGTCAATTCGTCAATTGACGCAAATTAAGTCGATTTTAGGACCAAATTTGATCAATTTTAATTTTGATTCCGATTCAGTAATTAGTTGATTTCTGGGTTTTGTTTTTATCATGACCACTCCTACATAAGTAGTTGTTATTAAGAGTAGTTAAATTTTGCGAATATATTTATCGATGATTTATATCGCTTAATGCTTAAACTAACATTTATTATTTCGCTTGTGACCATAAAAGGCTTTTAAATCCAGCCTTCAGCATCAGCGATATCTGGAAAGTACCCTACCTTCTCATTTCGTCGGAGAGCTGAGAAAGATTAAGGGCCGTATGCAGAAACTTTGATTTCTTTATATCAACTGATTTAGCATATCAGCGGATATAGGTTTTTGCACAACATGGAAACGTAGCATTTTTCTTTAAAACTGTTGTTTTATAAATTGGGTAGTTATCTTTCAACGTTTATATTTTCCCTAAAAAAGTCGATTTCTATACATTGACATTTTAAATTAGACATAAAACAATTAAAATGTCATAGGTACAGATTTATTTAACATTTGTGACATTTGCTTTTAACCATAGAAAATAATTTTGCTAATATAAGTCATGGTTTACTAGATTTGTTTTTGGCCAATAAAATCATCTAAAATGTATATCGGTTGACAAATTTATATCAGTCGTTAATGACTTGAATGATTTAAAATATGGATAAAAAAGACAGTATTTTTGTTTTTAAATATATATGAAAAAATAAATTCAGAAGGTAAATATACCTATACAAAGATATAATTAAAAAATAACATTTTTTAAGATAAAATACTAATCACAGTGCTGTTCTGAGAGGTGATTTTTGGACTTTCTGTGAAACCTAATCTTTTTTATATTCTTGTTAATTAGGTCATAACTAAAATTTTAAGAGCAAACTAAAAAAAATTTGACGGTTTGAATTGTTTTAATTGGCTGTTTATTAAAAATATTATGCATGCATAATATTTTTAATAAACAGCCAATTAAAACAATTCAAACCGTCAAATGTGTGCACTCTTTCAATTATCCAATTAAAACTAGCGATTTAATTGAAATATTTAATATTTGCATAACTAAAAAAAAAGGTTTTTATTTTTTTTTATATATATTTTACTGTTTACGTTCAAACTTTTAATCTAACCTTTGACGTATACATTTATGTTCCCTTAATTAATATACTTATCCTTAAAGGTTGCCATGAAACTTAAATCTATTAAAAATTTATTTGACGTTTGAATTGTCATTTTCAGTATACGTATTCTATAATTTTTGTTTAGTTTTTTAAAGTGTTTTTTATAAACAAAAATGAAAAATTGTAGTAAAAGTTACGAAGAAATTCATGAAACTAGGGACCGGTTTATTCATCTTTAGTAAAGTTTATCGGGCCGATAACTTTCATGTCTTGGCAATATCTAGTATCCAAAGAAATTATTCGTCAAATAAATCAAAAATGAATAAATCGGCCCTAAATAAAATGTGGCACCCTTAGAATTATTGTTTAATAAATGTATACTATACATTTAACCTTAAATTAAAACTTTAAACGTGTATTACAACAAAACAGTAAAAGATATAAAAAATTTATAGACCTTTTTTTAGGAAATTAACTAATCTTTAATCTGATTTAAAAGGTTATGATAATATTTAAATAAAATCGCAAGTTTTAATTGGAGAATTGAAAGTATGCATACATATTTTTAATAAACATCCAATTAAAACAAAATTAACCGTCAAATTTTTTTTATTTTGCTCTTAAAATTTTAGTTATGACCTAATTAACAAGAATATAAAAAAAATTAGGTTTCACAGAAAGTCCAAAAATCACCTCTCAGAACAGCACCGTATACTATGTTAATTATATCAAATATCTTTGCTGTTTGTCTGTTTGTCTGATTGAAAAGCTGTTTGGTTTCATTGTAAAATAATTACGCCTAACACTAAACTTGGGTAAAAATATTTTTGATTCATTTTTTTTATTATTAAAAACATTCACACCTTCCATAAATGTTTACTTTTTTTTTTTTATTTATTTATTGTAATTGTAATTAAAAAAATTACTATAGTATTTCTTTTTACCTATAGGTATTTAATAAATAATAAGGATTATATTTTTTAAATACTTTTAAAGAATTTTAAATTTTAGACCATGTTCAACTTATTTATCTTTTTAATTTTTAAAATATATGCTTGCTCTTCAAATAGAAACTGTAGATTTTGGGTAAAGGGCTTACCAAGGAAGAGTGACTTTTTTTCTGAGGAAATTTACACTCTATTTTTGGAGTCAAAAATATACATATGTAGGTACTATTACAGAAGGGCAACAACATGGGTATTTCAAATTAAATTTACATATTATAACCATTGAGTATAACCATTGAGTCAAAGTCAATATTACTTAATGTTATAACATTATTAACAGTGTTTGTCACTAATACAAGTTTAAAAGGCATTTTATAAGAAAATAAAAACAATTGTTTTTGCTCGAAAGCAAAAACAGGCACAGTGTATGAAATTATTTTTTTATACTTCTGTTTCAAATTGTTTTTATCATTTGTAATATTTATTTGACAAATAATTAAAAATATGCTCTGAAACAATATTTTTATTTTTAAATTTAAAATACACAGGGTATAAAATCTGGACTAGAACTGCAACAGTTAAATTTTATAATTTGCTCTATTAAAATAACAGTTTTTAAAATTTATGTACCTATATTTTTCAATATAAATTATTTAAAAAACAAAGTGTATAAGGCATGCATAATTTTTTCCATTGGGTATAATTTAACCTTTTAGAAAAGCAGGGATTCTTGCCCATTTCCAGCAAGGGTATAGTCATGATTTTGTTCAGGGGGGCAGGCAAGGGTAAACAATATGCATACTACAAAAAGTTTCGAGACATCACCTTCCACCCATTTTCTAGCACAATGTTTCTGAACATGCAATTTTTGAATATAACTCCCTCCTTTTGATTAAGAAAGTTTATTCTGAAGCAATAATTTATGTACATCAAGCATTAACTAACATAATATGTTAGTTAATGCTTGATGTACATAAATTATGGCTAACATATTATGTTTCTGTTTCTTAATTTTTTTATATTCTTGTTATAAATTTTAAATGTCTTTTTCCTCTTAATGTCTTCGGCATCATTGCATTTATTTTTCAAAACATTTGCCTAAATGCCAAAAGAGGTGTTATTCGTACCTGTAAAAGAATAGGTAAAAGATCATTGCCTTTTAGAAACTGGTCTAGTATTCCTATAACTACTGTTTAAAATATCTGCGGTGTAAAGAGTAATCTTAAAATGGTGTCAAAATCTAACACCAAGTGGTGTTAATATAAACACCATGAATAATGGTAAAAATGTTATATACAGCAAACACCAAAACGGTGTTTAACTAAAAATATTTCAGAAGTGCACCTACACAGAAAAAAAGAAATAGTTCATTTAACTATATTAATTTAGTTATTTAAATCAACTGTGAGAAGGTTAATATAAACAAAAATTAGTTTGACGGTACTAAACCAGATAGTTATATTATATATATATTTTTTTAAATTGGTTAAATTAACCCAGAAAACTTTAGTGAAACCAACCCGCTGTATGGTTCAGTTTACTAAATATACTGTTTGTAAAATAAGAGTTACTTCAACCTAAAGCACTTTGTTAAAACGATTAAAACAATTTGCCGTGCATTCCTGATTGCATCCCAGATAGCACAAAGAAGTACTGGAAACGTCCTGAGTATGTCTTGTATCAGACATTAGTACTTCCCGATGTTACCAAATCGTCGGTCCCCAGAACGTCCTAAGTAAGACATCCTCTGGCCGTTCTGAAATACTTTATTGGGGCTTATTGGACAAGCTCTACAAAATTGAAGAGTGGTATTCCCCAAGGGTCAAAGTGAAAAAAAAAAATTGTGAGTTATCAATGAAAAACAAATATTTTGAACATATATATTGGAATATTTTTTAAGTCATTCTGCATGACAAACTATTTTTAAATGATAATATATTATTTAGCCAACTTGACACTTAGACCCTTTGAAAATACCATGCTTCAATTGCTAAAAAAAAATTACGTCCTTAGGACGTAATTTTCCCAAATAAGTAAGAGACTGGACGTACCCAAAACTTCCGATATAGGTCTGGGGTATGTTGCCAAATTGGTTCAAACAGTGGATATGCGTAAATCAGTTTATAAATGGTGTCCCAACAAGAGCGCGGGATTTAATTTTAAAGAAAAACACATTTATTTTTTGAATTAAGCTAACATGTTTATATTAACTTAAAAAAAATAGTTCCGATTAAACGTGAAATACAACATCAGGCAAATGGCCACTACGAAACCTCTGGCACAGGGTTATACTTTTGTTTAAATTTTGAATAACGTTTTCGCATAAATGTGGCTGTATTTCATCAATAACGTGCCGTATTTCCTCTTTTTGATGTTCAACTGTTATTCGCATACACCTTTTCCCTCATTTAGCCCTAAAGAAAAAAGCCCATCAGCGC